TACACTCTACTCTTTCCTTCAGGCGAAGATGGATGGGCAGCTGAAGAAGATGAAGAAGCAGATCCAAACATTCATAATATCACCGCTCGAGAATTCTATGCTTTTAATCTCAACACATGGCATACAGAAAGAACTACAATTTTTCGTGCTTCACGTCTCTTTCAGGAATATGTGTGCATGACTTTTGCTAAAATTGAAAATGTCCGCCTTCTATACCACCGTTTCCACCAAGCAAAAATCTGAGCAGATCTGTATCAGAACCTCCACGACCACATTATGCTCTATGACAATTCGAAAACCGTTGGCCAACACATTATTCTACCTGCGACATTCCCAGGAGGTCCACGTGACATGCGTCGTCGATACCAAGACGCAATGGCAACCGTTCAAGAATTGGGCACTCCTGATCTCTTCATCACAATAACCTGCAATTCACATTGGCTAGAAATGGAGAATGTGCTCTTGCCAAACCAACAGCCGACAGACAGACCAGACTTGCTTGCCCGAGTCTTCAAAGGATACCTGCGACAACTCATCCACGACATCCACTCAACTCACATCTTCGGTGTAACTGCTGCAGATGCTCACACTATCGAATTTCAAAACGAGGTCTGTCATATGCTCACATTATTATAATACTCAAGGATGATGCTAAAATCAATACACCTGAGCACATTGACAACATTGTATGCGCCAAAAATATGCAAAATCCTGAACTACGTGAACTCGTGCTATCTCACATGATACATAATCCATGTGGAATATAAACCCCCGACGCGTCATGCATGCACAATGACCGATGCACACGTTTTTTCCCCAAAGACTTTTCAGAGCGAACAACGTGGAATGAAGACACATGATATCCTATTTACCGTCGTCGAGCACCCTCTGACGGGGAAGTAACGCTCCATCAAGCTGATCAATTGATTGACAACTCTTGGGTCGTGCCCTATAATCCATATCTCCTTCTCCGCTACCGCTGCCATCTAAATACCGAAATTAGTGCATCGACGGCAGCCTGTCGATACATGTTTGAATATATTCTAAAAGGTCCAGACAAAGCAATGGTCGCTGAAGCGCTCAATACAAACGACGAGATTCAAGTCTACCAAGACATGCGAACAATTGGTGTTGTTGAAGCATGTTAGAGAATCTTCGATTTTGTGCTGTCTGAACGATATCCCCTTGTAACAGCACTTCCTGTTCATACAGAAAACTGCCAACGTGTGTATTTTCGACACCAACACCAAGCCCGACAAATCGCACGTGCTTCGCCACCTGAAATTGAACTCACGACATGGTTTAAATGGAATGCTGCACACCTTCATGATCTCGATGAAATGCCGCACTCTTCTCTCAAGCGGTGAAAAAAAAAGTTCTAAAAAAATATAAAATTTGAAGCTCCTGCAGACATACCCCAGTACTTGAGGCATCGAGAAACTAAGAACTAACTAAGGACGAACATCACTTACTGCCTATAAACTCAAGGATCAGGAACTGGGCAATCAGGAACTAGGCAAAAAGAGAAGTTGTAGGATTACCTTCCCATCATCACTGTCCAGTCACTCTGTGAGGAGCCTTTGTTGCCTAGACGGGTTTTCCACCACGCATCCAATGGATACAACTCTAGTTTGCTTTTCACCGGGTCTCTCGTTTCGTCCAAGCATTGGTTTTCCCACTGCTCTCTCGTACTAACTAGTCTTATAATAACTACAAACGACTAACGCTCCCACCACTGATGACGACACTTGCACTGCCCCCGTAGTGCCGCTGTCGATAGAAAAATAGGTTGTAGGGATACCTTCTCATCATCGTTATCCAAAACACTTGTAAAAAGCCTTTGTTGCCAGGGCGGGTTTTCCACCACGCACCCAATGGATACGACTCTAGTTTGCTCTTCATCGGGTCTCTCATTTCGTCCAACCGTTGGTTTTCCCACTGCTCTCTCATACTAACTACTCTTATAATAACTACAATCGACTAACGCTCCCACCACTGACGACGACACTCACACTGCCCCCGTACTACTGTCGTTGTCGATAGAAGAATAGGCTGTAGGGATACCTTATCATCATCGTTATCCAAAACACTTGTAAAGAGCCTTTGTTGCCAAGGCGGGTTTCCCACCATGCACCCAATGGATACAACTCTAGTTTGCTCTTCACCGGGTCTCTCATTTCGTCAAACCGTTGGTTTTCCCACTGCTAACTCGTACTAACTACTATGATAATAACTACAATCGACTAACGCTCCCACCACTGACGATGGCACTCACACTGCCCCTGCAGTACCGCTGTCGATAAAATAATAGGTTGTAGGATTACCTTCTTATCATCACTATAAAAAAAACTTGTAAAAAACCTTTGTTGCCAAAGTGGGTTTCCCACCACGCACCCAGTGGATACAACTCTAGTTTGCTCTTCACCAGGTGTCTCTTATCGTCCAACCATTGGTATTCCCACTGCTCCTTCGTACTGAGTATTCTCACAAAGAAAAACAACTTATCAAGAGGCAGAAATACCTAAATCTCTGAATTACTACAAACATTCCGACCCTAAATATGTGTTTCTAATTACGAAACCCTAGAGAAAATACATGTGACATAACAGATAATACTAGCCTAGAAAGCGCCGAGAAAACAAGGAGGTCACTCTTCACGGAACCAACCAGATTCCAAATACAGAGATGAAGAAAGCGCATAAAATAACACTTTCCAAAGCAGTGTGACATCAACTACCTCCAAGTAAGAGGCATGTGCTAAAACGCACATTATACCTCTTGAATTCAAGGAAAGTATCGAAATAGAGCAGCCCATGAATCTAATCTAATATGTCTAACAGATGCATAACACCGTAAAATCTATATGACCGTCGAAGAACATGCTCATCTAAGTGAGAAGGTAAGTACTATTCTACGATTTAACCAACAGATACAACTAGATATCATGCGTAGGAATGCAAACCAGTGTGTCTATACAATCAGCATCGTCCACAGAACCTCAAAATTCAATATATTCCATAGATCGCCCGATGGGGTTGACACTTCTGTTCTTGGAACTTATGGCACGCTCCCACTGTTGCTGCAAGCTCTCTCACTGCCCGCTGCAACACCGTCCCAATCGTTCTTCCAAAACTTGCGCTTGTAGCTCTTGGTTCACAGCTCCCATTAGCTCTTCGTTCGCAGCTCCCATCCGATGTCTTGGCCCGAGGCTCGGGCCTGCTTTCACAGGCACGAGTAGTCAACATGTCTCACACCTACCAATATTAGGGTTGGAGAAAGAAATTTCCATTAATTTCGAGGGAAGGACTCTTAGTCTGATGAAAGGTAAGACGGAGGAGGGGATCGCTTGTGGCCCCTATCCTTGAGTGCAGAGGCACTCCCCCTCCAATCAAGGAGAGGTTAGGACACGAGCACCGAGGACATAGCTCAACTATGTTTTCTACTAGTCGAGACACTTGTCTTTCCATAACGCGTAGCCACCGGACTCAACGAGTGTACTTCGCCGCCAAGCACGGGCCGACTGAGGGACGTTAGGTCTGAGCTACATTCGATTCCCGAATTAGCGCAGACTTAGCGCACACTCAGCGCTACTGGGCGCCTACCGGGTCCTCCGCGTTTTTTTTCCCATTTACCGAATTCTCACCTCCTCCGGTTGCTTTTCATTCAAATTTATCTTTCTGAAAATGGATTGCTTTTTTTCTTTTTTTTCTTTTTTTTTCTTTTCTTCTTATTTCACTATCCTACCGGTCGGCCACTCCCCGAACCCCACCGATGCGGCGCGTTAAACCACCAGTACCTCGCCCTGCTTGACAAAAACGACGGGGCCGTATATGAGCCGCGTCGGGCGGGGTACCCACCGGGGGGCGACCGGTAGCCCAAAAAAATCGGGCAAAAAAAAAAAAAAAAAACCGAAAACAAAAACAGACAACGAAATCAAATAGACGGGCCCACGGGGCGGGGGAAGGAGGGGGAAGAGAGAGAGAGAGAGAGAGAGAGAGAGAGAGAGAGAGAGAGAGAGAGAGAGAGGGAGAGAGTCTGTGAG